GAAAGACGTGATCATGGCGCGAGACAGAAAGACAGCGACCGAAGAGGAATAACATAACCCAATGAAACAAAAGGGGAACGCAACCAATGAGGTGAGCCGAAAAACAGGAGACCCACTGAGAAGGCTCGAAGATTAACAGTGTTTATTTCCTTTAAATAGGCTACACTATACTGAATAAACGCCTGTTTTCCGCCCGCCGCCATCGTGAATTTTTGATCGTGTCCCTGTCACTTAACACCTACAAGACTGATCAACGGTCAAAGGTCAGACAAACTCAGTCTCCTGGTCCTCCAGGCTGGGGTTTTAAATGGGATGGCGACCATTTATGTAAAACTAAATTCTTGCCATCTCCCCGCTGCCTTGCGGACAGGCTTTTGAACCAAAAGCTTCGGTTGAGGACGCTGATCGTCCTGCTGTTTAGGTGTGGGCGACCTGGCACTATCTCGTCCCTCATACAACCATGACAATTTTCCCCAACTCTAACTTCATCCTGCATCGACCGTCGCGCAGATTATCAAGGGTCGCCTTATCTGCTGCTTACAGTAGGGCGGATAAGCGAAAACATCCTACTGTTTACATCTCCATTCTTAATTTTTCACCTCTCTTAGTCCCATTCCGACCTTCTGTACTTCCCAGCTTAATTGACAACAACTCAAGTGCCACTAGAATAGAACTATCTGCAGCCATCTTCCCGCAACACCCACCGGATGTCTATGTCAACCGTCCCTTGTAATGCCACGCCGCCCCGTCTACCTAGCAGCGTTAAATGTTCGCACTTTAAGACAAATCGTTCAATAGGTTGTAATCCCATGCACATTGGACACATTTGGTATTGATATATGTTGTGTGTCCGTAACTATGATCAGTGACCCTAATGGGGTTGTTGAACTAACTGCACCCGGCTTATTCTCTCGCTATTGGTTGCACGCATGCAGAGACGCCGATGCAGCACTCACGGGTCAAGCTGGTGTAGGTATCATTCTAAAGTCCAAGACTGGACTATTGTTGGTTGATTAGATCTCAATGAACAGTCGTTTGTGTGCAACCCGTTTGACGACTTCACCTGTGTTTGATTCACGAAGTAGTACAAACGATGTTTGCTTGTGATTTCCGCTTATGCCCCCACCGACTGTAGTTCTGATGTTGCCAAGGACACATTCTGTCACGAACTGAACGTGGTACTACTCAGTGCTACTAGATCAGATATTATAGTAATTGCAGGGGATATGAATGCACAAGTAGGGTGTCCGAGCTATTCAGAAGCTCAGCTAAATGGTACTTATGGGCCTAACTCCGAACGGACTGACAACGGTGAGCGTCTGCTGCAATTATGTACATAGCACTAGTTGTTTTCTAGTAGCACCGCTTTTAGACACAGTGGGTGTCGAAGTGCCACTTGGCGTCCTCTTGTAGCTGGCCAGCGATAGACCCGAATTGACCACGTAGCCATAGGTCAGAGATGGCGTATTTCCATCCTAGATTGCCGCTCGAAATGGAATATGTTTATCGACTCTGATCATGCTCTGGTACGCTGTCGTTTCTCCATATTAACCGGGAGGCGCACTTAGCGTCTCCTCCGATTGGCAACTGAGAATTCGTCTCAGCCCTCGGTCAAGCAAGCCTATCAAGACCCACTGCGACCCGAAGTTTCACTCTCTTGTCTTAATGACACTGAGCTTCAATGGTATAGGATCTCGGCGGCCATGCACGACGCAGGAGCATCTGCTTGTGGCACTATCAATTGTCACCGAATCAGTCACTGGATATCCAAGAGGTTGGTGACCAGCCGGGCTATTAGGCGCGAACTAAAGCGGAGCCTACGTGCTGAAAAGGACAGACTTCTTCCTACTCAACTGATGCCGGATGTGCCGTCTACGGTTATTTTAGAGGCTCCGTCGGAGAGCGAGCTCTGGAACGCGGTCACAGCCCTAAATCCTTTTCGAGCCGCTGGCCCGGATTCCCTTCCACCTGCACTATTTATAGACGAAAGTGTGATCTCCAGCAAAGCACTGACCTCCCTATTCGAACATATCTGGAAGGAGGTGTCCCGGCTAACTGGAGTGAATAGATTATAGCGGCAGTATACAACAAGGGCAGTCACACAGACTGTGCTACCGACATGGGTATTAGCCTAACGCTAGTCGTGACAAAATTACTGGCCCCGATTCTCGTTCGTCACTACACTGTGGAACGGAAATCGCAGATTAGGGAAGGGCATGTAGATTTCAGCCCTGGACATGATTGTATAGACCATATTTTTACTCTGCGGCAGGTGCTAGAGCAGCGCCACGCATACTGCATACCGACAATAGCCGTGTTTCTCGATTTCAAGTGTGCGTTCGATTCAGTCGATCGATGCATTCTGTACGAAATACTTGCGCAGAAAATGTTCCTACGAAATATATGAACATCCTACGTGCTCTATATTCGAACACCACAGGCTGCGTCAAGATCTACGGTGACCTGTCGGATAGTTTTCCAACCACAAGTGGCATTCGTCAGGGTCGTCCGATTTCCCTGTTTTGTTCAATTTCGTCGTGGACTCTATCTTGCAGTGTTACCTTGAGTAATCTCACCATGTAGCCGTCGAGGTCCTGCCTGGTCAAAGGATAGTTGATCTTGATTACGCGGATGATATCGTCTTGCCTTTCGACGATGTTGCGGGGGCACAATCAACTCTGAATGGTCTGTCTAGAGTGGTCCCATTATTTGGTACGCGTTTCGCACCTTCAAAGTGCAAAGTGTTGTTGCAGGACCTCTACCCACTTGATGACCCTTTGACGCTTGCTAACGAGGTGGTTGACTGATTCACTTACCGAAACGAAAGCCCCTCTGACCTCCGGGAACACGACTATTGTAAGCCGCCAAAAAGCATTGCGGTTCTCCAACAGCTGAGGTAACGTGAAGAGGTAGTCAATACAGCCTCGATTTCGACGAAACTCGGCTTGCTCCTCGCGCATCTGGCCTTCACGAGTGTCAGTCAGCCTATGGAGGACGACAGACGGAAGTAACTTAGAGGCAGTGGAGATCAGTCTGATTCTTCTATGAATGATGCATTGGGAACGGGAGCCATCCTTGAAAGCATTTGGACTACTGAAACCATCCCATCCGACTGGGAATAAGCGGATATTGTACCTGTCTACAAAAAAGGAGACAGGACCGTTTACTCCAACCATCTTGGGACCAGGTTCATTTGTGTCGAATCCAAAGTGCTCGCTGTCGCACTCTTGCGCACAGGAATAGCAAGCTGGATTTCGTCCAGAACGCAGCTTCATCGATCATTTTTACGATCCGCCAGATACTTGAATACCGCCATATGTTCAGTCGACCAACCAGTCATATTTTTGGATATCCAAGCCGCGTTTGACTCCGTTGACAAAGTGGTCATTTGGGACTGCTTACTGAAGACGGGAGTACCTGAGAAGTACAGCAGCATCCTCCATGCCAATTACCATCAAAGTTCAAGCCGCGTGCGAGTATACGGAGAATTTTCGCCCCCTTCAGTATCACTAGTAGTGTTAGACATGGTTGCCCAGCCTCCCCCTTCTTGTTCAACTTCGCCATGGACGAGATCCTGGAAACCGCCCTGGAAAAACCTGAGTCTTGCGGGAGTTGGAGTACACAGATGACATCGACGTGATTTATGAGCTATACCATATATATATATATATATATATATATATATACATATATATATATATATATATATATATATATATATATATATATATATAAACTACTATGGAGCGGCTCCAGTCTGCCGGGACAACCTCCCACTAATAAGTTATGTATATCGTCCCAAAGCCGAGATCCCCCAGATTTGAAGAGGGCTGGATGAAATCCATCTGATCCAGCGGCCTTGTTCAATTTCAGTCATCTGATCTCACGCTCGACTTCTGCGTGTGAAGGCGCTTCCAAGGGAACGGCGTAGGGAGTAAGGCGCTCATTGGCCGATAGAGAAACTGGAAATTCCGACTGACCGAACTGCTTCTCAGTGTTCTTATAAATCTTCCTTCTGTGATTGCAGATAGAAGCAATGGAGCGACCGCAATAAAAGCGATGAACCAAGTGGAAGGTGAAGAGAACCCACATCGTCATTATCATTAACGTTAAAGGAGAAGGCACCTCTTTGCAGCAGGCCGACACAGTTGACCATGACGTAGCTTACTGGCCAATCTTTGAAAGCGGGCTAATAATGATGCTACATCTGGGGCGCTGCCAATGAAGATGGTCTATCTTGAAGTCCGCCAGTGGGCGCTAGGTCATTCCTTTACTAACTGTTGATTCGAACCCGTTATTTGATTTGCGTACACTGTTTGCGGAGTGCTCAACACAATGTTCGCCTGAAGCCTCTTCTAATCGGAGAACTCGGCCGGTCAGCTTGCACGGTAACAGCAGGTTATCCGTACAGTCAGCGGAAACCACAAGAATTAACCGGCTAAATTATTGCACCAACTTGTTGCATCTAAACGGCAGAAATTACGTTTCAAACCGGACTGTCCACCAAGCAGCTAGGTGCCTGATTAAAGGAAATTACAGAGTACCAAGGTGGTAGAGAAGAAAATGGGGCTGTGGGATCCGATGCAGTAGCTGCTAGGGGATTGTGCGGTACGGTTGAATCTGGAAGGCAGTAGCGCATTAGTATTCTCTTTCCGACTTACAGAAGCAACTACTATGTTTACGAAGGATGAGAAGTTTCTACGACATTCGTTTTCCAGTTGTCAGTCCTGTAACCATGATGACGAGGAAAGCCTGTAATACGGTCATTAGAACTATGATCTGCGAACTATAAACAATCAAACAGGAAACCAACATTCAGGAACGAAGCTACTTCATGGTGTATGCAATACGACGTCGCAATTCTAACAGGGATATTGTCATTTAGTGTTGCTACAGCTGACGAGTAGACAAAGTTTCCGGGGGGAAGCAAAACCTATCCAGAAAGCTCACTCTTTCAATGAGAAAATGACCTGAGCCAATGTAGTGTATCTGAGGAATTAATTCGTTTCTGGAACATTCAAGTCTCACAAGTGACAGTGTTTACCTCCTCTTTGGTAGAGCAGAAATAAACTGCTCATGCTGGCAGCTGAACTGGCTACCCTAAAACTTGGACACACACAGGTTGACATAGATATTTGTTGAGTCTCACATTACCTTCACTAGCTTCAGTAACAGGTCCTGCAACACAGCTTCGCGCCGAATCGTCGACTTCTGATTTTGGTTGTGATCAGGAACTTGCGGGGATCGCACAGAAATGGAGAGATCTAACACAGTGTATGTTAATATGTACCCTATCCAGGCCGGATAAAAACTGTGCCACGAGTAACACGACGCGGTAAGGACAGTTATGGAAAGCGTGTGGCCAGAACTGATGTAGTCATGCGACAATCATCGATACAATGGGCGTGAACTGAAAATGAAGACGGAGTAAGGTCAGATATCATCATCAAGCGAGACAGGATAAGAGTGTGAAGATCCGGACAACCAAATATCGAATAAGAGTACAAGTCTAGGGGCGAATTGGGTTGCACAGTGCGTGAAATCCTGCAGTGATACCTTTGGCAAATAAATACACATAGAGAGGAATCATAAGTGCACTGAAGAAAGACGATAAAGTAAGGAATAACGTGATTAACTTTGTCACGTGGCAACGGTTTTTGAAGCATGTGTGTGTGCAGCATCTGAGCCGTCACCGTGTTGGCAGAGTTGACGAGAGGTTTTTTGCTTTTCGTAGTTATTCTTTTGTCTCAATCGAACAAAAAGGCTAGGTGAATCGTAGCTGGACTTGCGCTTGCTAAAACGTTCGACCCAGGACAAACGAGCACGTGACGGTTGGTTCTGAGAGGATAAATCTGGAAATAAGAGGTGGTTTAAAGGTAAGAAGATGAAACGATGCAGTTAAAGTCGATACACAGTTCCGTAAAAACAATGGATCTGGCAGAGCAATGATAACTGACCACAGACTGGTGCATAACTATTTTGAGCGCAACAATCAGTGAAGAAAGTAGTCGTTCTGATATTTGAATTCTGCAACCCTGGCAGTATTTCAGTCCACATATAGTCGAAGTTACCTCATCGGACTTTGATCTCATTCTGCATCGGTCGTCATACAAGTTAAAATAACCGCACTATCCGCAGTAATGCTGCAGGGTGGATGAGCGAAAACAACATATTAACAACGCATCATTATTAGCTCACCAGCTCCTCACTCATACGCCTCCCGATAACGGCCTGAATGAAGTATCCAATCGAAGTGAACATAGAGACCCCAGGAACAAGTTATACACGGTCATGTGTCTAGGCTGAGTTTAGAGTGTGTGATTATGGTGAGTTTCCTGTAGTTGGACTGAGTCAAAACATTAAAAACAGCTGCCAACAAAGTTATTAACGGAGACAGATGAACAATGTAGGACGAGGTGGTTTTGCCAATTAAACCTATCGTAACTGAAGGACCGACATTTTGATACACATTATGAACCTTGCTCCAATAGTCTTCAGTTCAAAACAGACAGTATTAATGCAAATTATAACTTGAATCTATGCAGTCGGTACGCCACAGGTTCAGGACATCATGAGTCGCTTATCAGCACATGACGCCCGAGATTCTTGGCTGCATGTAACACACATAACCACAAACAAGTAAGTAGCCTGCAATTGTACACAAAGTATACCGGTGCTGACGCGTATTGCGCCTCAGAACTACAAGTGATGAATGGTAGGTTATCAAATTATCTTTTCGTAATTGGTTAGGCAAGTCTAGGAGTGCCTGGGCAGTAAACACAAATGGTAGGAGAACACTACTCACAGTTTCAGAGCAAAATCCGAAGTCGCTTATTGGACCGTTTGTGAAGTCATGTGTGCCTAATCCCATTAAGGTTGGCTAAAACGTACAGCGCAACAAAAGACACCGCTTGTTAATGACGGATAAACAAGCATACATGGATTGGAATCCACATACTAAAAGGACTTCATTTAAAGCAGCACTGAGGCCCTACTGTGCAAACGGACCGCGGAGCATTATCCGGATTACAATCGCGGAACCACCACACCATATATTTGGCTAAAATGTTTAGACGATAGCGAGGCGAGATAAGGACTCTCTTTCGTTCGAAGCTGGTGTCTGAATCATTGGTTTATATGCCATTCGGATAAATACAAGCCATCCAGGGACCCAACATCCTTCAAATAAGAGCCTAAGTCTAATGAAGAAATCATGGTTTTATAGCGATAAAACTCGGGTACTTTGAAAAAATATCACCCAATAGGTCACACATTTATCAAAAACGAGGGCACTACAAGTTAAACCTGAAAAAGTAGAGCTCCTACTGTAGCGAAATCTAGGGAACGACATTCGGCATCATCATCAATCATCCTTCACGTAAGCTATAGACGACACACCATAGAGCTAATGTGCGGCCTCGCAATGCAATGCAGCTAGGGGTGAAAAATTGAGCAAGCCATAGCAAAAGTAAAGCAAAAAATGCATCACGCTTTGTTACATATGCATTGGCGTTAAACATCATCAGTGCACACGAAGCTAGAGGTCAAACAATCAACAACAGCAGTCCATCAGCCACGTCAACTGATACTTCGCCGCCATACGACCATGAGGACCTATGAAATAAAGAATAAGAAGAGGGAGAGAAAAGGGACTTACTGAAAAGCTTAATGCCCTAAACAAACATTCAGGGTCAAGGCGCCTACACCTTGCGTAGACAACATACCGTAACAAACAGCTGGCTATCGTGCAAAGATTAGGCGACATCGGCGAGACAGCTGCCGTGCGGCTTTCACTGCGCCGCGTCATAATCAGCCATTACCCCGCAGATAACTCAACACAAAAGGCACCATAAACAGGCAGTCCGACTAGGAAACAGCAGCAAACGCGACACTTGTGTCCACTGCGAGCCATGTTTAGTCAAGTCTCATGGCAAGCACAATGCGCGTCATGTGCACTCCGATCCGGAAGGCGAGACGGACCAACGGCACCCAGTTTGGTCGTCAGTGACTTCATTTCCCGATGCCAAGTAAACTTCTGTCCACCTCGAGCCTTGCGCCCCCTTACAAGTGACAAACTAAATAAGGCCCTTCTAGGTGAACGGTAATCAGTCATACGTAGCACGTGCCTGAGCCAACGCAACTTTGCCAGTGCGATCTGTTGATCTAGGAAGTTATCATGATTATCACTACCTAGTACCTGGTCACGCACGTCATCATTGCGGACACCCTGGTGCCATACGACAACAGCAATACTCTGCAGAAAAAGATGATCGAAGACTCGAAGGCGCCTCAGACCATCAGACCGAAAGGGCCAAGTCCCATTATCACAGAACAGGACAACCCTCACTGTGGCCTTGTATACAAGGCCTATCCGACGAAGGAAAAGTTCCTTCTCTCGTCAATAATGCCGCAAAATAAAGAAGCCAGTACTGCAATGCGTAAACTGACCTCAGTTTCTATGCGCCCAATGTTGCTGATACAGTTGAAAAGGTAAGGGAATCGGTCAACTACGTCGAGTTCCTCGTTAGCAAGCGTCAAAGGGTCATCAAGTGGGTAGTGGTCCTGCAACAACACTTTGCACTTTGAAGGTGCGAAACGCGTACCAAATAATGGGACCACTCTAGACAGACCATTCAGAGTTGATTGTGCCGCCGCAACATCGTCGAAAGGCAAGACGATATCATCCGCGTAATCAAGATCAACTATCCTTTGACCAGGCAGGACCTCGACGGCTACATGGTGAGATTACTCAAGGTAACACTGCAAGATAGAGTCCACGACGAAATTGAACAAAAACAGGGAAATCGGACGACCCTGACGAACGCCACTTGTGGTCGGAAACCTATCCGACAGGTCATCGTAGACCATGACGCAGCCTGTGGTGTTCGAGTATAGAGCACGTAGGATGTTCATATATTTCGTAGGAACACTTTCCGCGCAAGTATTTCGTACAGAATGCATCGATCGACTGAATCGAACGCACACTTGAAATCGAGAAACACAGCTATTGTCGGTATGCAGTATGCGTGGCGCTGCTCTAGCACCTGCCGCAGAGTAAAAATATGGTCTATACAATCATGTCCAGGGCTGAAATCTACATGCCCTTCCCTAATCTGCGATTTCCGTTCCACAGTGTAGTGACGAACGAGAATCGGGGCCAGTAATTTTGTCACGACTAGCGTTAGGCTAATACCCATGTCGGTAGCACAGTCTGTGTGACTGCCCTTGTTGTATACTGCCGCTATAATCTATTCACTCCAGTTAGCCGGGACACCTCCTTCCAGATATGTTCGAATAGGGAGGTCAGTGCTTTGCTGGAGATCACACTTTCGTCTATAAATAGTGCAGGTGGAAGGGAATCCGGGCCAGCGGCTCGAAAAGGATTTAGGGCTGTGACCGCGTTCCAGAGCTCGCTCTCCGACGGAGCCTCTAAAATAACCGTAGACGGCACATCCGGCATCAGTTGAGTAGGAAGAAGTCTGTCCTTTTCAGCACGTAGGCTCCGCTTTAGTTCGCGCCTAATAGCCCGGCTGGTCACCAACCTCTTGGATATCCAGTGACTGATTCGGTGACAATTGATAGTGCCACAAGCAGATGCTCCTGCGTCGTGCATGGCCGCCGAGATCCTATACCATTGAAGCTCAGTGTCATTAAGACAAGAGAGTGAAACTTCGGGTCGCAGTGGGTCTTGATAGGCTTGCTTGACCGAGGGCTGAGACGAATTCTCAGTTGCCAATCGGAGGAGACGCTAAGTGCGCCTCCCGGTTAATATGGAGAAACGACAGCGTACCAGAGCATGATCAGAGTCGATAAACATATTCCATTTCGAGCGGCAATCTAGGATGGAAATACGCCATCTCTGACCTATGGCTACGTGGTCAATTCGGGTCTATCGCTGGCCAGCTACAAGAGGACGCCAAGTGGCACTTCGACACCCACTGTGTCTAAAAGCGGTGCTACTAGAAAACAACTAGTGCTATGTACATAATTGCAGCAGACGCTCACCGTTGTCAGTCCGTTCGGAGTTAGGCCCATAAGTACCATTTAGCTGAGCTTCTGAATAGCTCAGACACCCTACTTGTGCATTCATATCCCCTGCAATTACTATAATATCTGATCTAGTAGCACTGAGTAGTACCACGTTCAATTCGTGACAGAATGTGTCCTTGGCAACATCAGAACTACAGTCGGTGGGGGCATAAGCGGAAATCACAAGCAAACATCGTTTGTACTACTTCGTGAATCAAACACAGGTGAAGTCGTCAAACGGGTTGCACACAAATGACTGTTCATTGAGATCTAATCAACCAACAATAGTCCAGTCTTGGAGCTTAGAATGATACCTACACCAGCTTGACCCGTGAGTGCTGCATCGGCGTCTCTGCATGCGTGCAACCAATAGCGAGAGAATAAGCCGGGTGCAGTTAGTTCAACAACCCCATTAGGGTCACTGATCATAGTTACGGACACACAACATATATCAATACCAAATGTGTCCAATGTGCATGGGATTACAACCTATTGAACGATTTGTCTTAAAGTGCGAACATTTAACGCTGCTAGGTAGACGGGGCGGCGTGGCGTTACAAGGGACGGTTGACATAGACATCCGGTGGGTGTTGCGGGAAGATGGCTGCAGATAGTTCTATTCTAGTGGCACTTGAGTTGCCGTCAATTAAGCTGGGAAGTACAGAAGGTCGGGATAGGACTAAGAGAGGTGAAAAATAAAGAATGGAGGCGTAAACAGTAGGATGTTTTCGCTTATCCGCCCTGCTGTAAGCAGCAGATAAGGCGACCCTTGATAATCTGCGCGACATCATCATCATCATCATCATTACACGTTAGCTGGAGG